TGGTATCACAAAATCTCAAAACAAAAATTAACTTCAATTCACATTTCAAAAAGCAGTCACACACAGATAATATGGGCATTTTTCTGGTGTCATAAATTCAAAAAAATTTGACTCTGATAATGATATAAAGGAGACTCTGGCTTCTCCAAGGCCATACCCATGGCAGTTTCTAAGGGCTGGAAAGACTTTGACTATGCTCCCAGCAACAGACCAAATCTGCTTCAGAGAACCAGCTTAGTTAGCTAAGTAGAAGAGGCTTATCAGTAGTAGGGTGGCTTTTTGGTGAGGAATTCTTTGGCCATGGAAACCCACCAAATAAAGAATATTAGTGGAAAGAACAATGTAGCCCAAGTCAGAAGACCAGTGTTCACTTCTAAGTCTCACCAGTCATTGTGGCACCTTGGACTCATAAAAGTTGTGGGCCTCAGTTCCCTCAGCTGTGAAATAGGATAATTCAGCTCGGTCTTGATTAGGACAAACAATGAATCTCCTGAAGTAGTCATGTGTATTCCAGTTAATGGGGCATACTCCCATTGGGCTGGAATCATATTTCATGCAAATATTTGCACTTCAAAGAGTACAATTTCAGAATTAGATTTCAGAAAGAGATCTGATGAACTCTGAATAGAGATTGAAGCATATTTTTTTTCACTTTATGTTTCTTGCTTTTTATTATTAGGTTTTGTTTTGTTTTTACAACGTGGTTAATATGGGGAATATGCTTCGCATGGCTTTACATGCATAACTGACATAGTGCTTGCCTTCTCAATGGATGGAGGAGGGGAGAAAGGAGAGAATTTGAAACTTGTACTTCTCTTTTAAATGAATTATAAAGATAAGAAAAAGAGAAAAAACAAAAAAACAAAGAACGAACATTCAAATACATACGACCACTTCAGGGGACTCAATGTTCAAACTCATCAGAAGATATCTATAATAGAGTGCACTACCTACCCCAAGGTAGCTGTGAAGTCAAGTAAAGGTATTGTATGTAAAAGACTCTGTAACCACAAAGTACTACATATATGGGAACTCCAGGGTATGACAACTCAAACTGAGGTTGGGAATTATTGGGAATCATGGAAACCTTGTATGATGATGAAAATGGAGAAACAAATCTGTCAACCCCTTTAACCAATGAAGGTCCAAGAGACTCGGGGAAAATGCTCAGAAAGACAATATAGAGAGAAAATCAGTCCCCAGGTTGAGAAATGAATCATGATCAATAAGTACCAGGATGATGCAAAGGAATAAAAATCACAAAAACACCTACCTTAAAAAAAGTTAAAGATAGAATCATAAAATTAGTGGGAGGAAAAGCTGCTAGGACAGATCTGGATTCCAGCAAAGTGGCTGATTCCAATGTCATACAACTTTAAGTGGAAAATAAGAATTCACAATAGCTGAAGCAAGGACAGGCTAGCAGTCAAGGTCAGAAGAAAGACTAAGAAAGTCTAGGGCACAAGAGTATGGGGCTGAGAGCTTAGCTCACCTGCAAGGTGTTTTTAAGACAGGCAGTGTGAGTTAATTAAGATACCCAAATGAACAGTTGGAAAAACACTGTGTTTATATTGTCAGACATGGCCAATGTGTTGGTCTATTTTACTTAACTATAGTTCTTTGTTACTCCAAAGAATTGGGGGAAGGATGTAAGTCATAGCGAAGATCATTTTTTTTAAAGCATTAATAAAACTTTATTTTTTAAAAGAAAAATACTATGTCCATTTTAACAGCTACCTACTCTTGGGCTCAGTGAATGAGCATTATTACTACTATTACTCAAAACTCATAGTTTACGCTTTAGAATTTGCAAATAGTTAACACATATTACCTCATCTGATCCTCACAAAAACTTGATGACTTAAAAATACTTTTGTTGTTCAGTCATGTCGAATTCTTTGTGACCCCATTTGAGATTTTCTTGGCAGAGATACTAGAGTGGTTTGCCATTTCCTTCTCCAACTCATTTTACAAGGTTAAGTGACTTGCCCAGGGTCACACAATTAAGTGTCTGATGTCACATCTGAGCTCATGAAGATGAGTCTTCCTTATTCCAAGCCCAGTGCTCTATCCACTGCACCACCTAGCTGCCCTTAAAAATACTATAATTTATTCTCCTACTTTCACAAAAGAGGAAACTGAGGCAGAGATTAAAGTGACTTTCCCTCACATAATGACTAAGTGGCAGGCCTGAGATTCAAATCTAGGACCTGTGACTGCAGATTACTCTACTGAGTATACTTATACCACACCATGGTCTCCCTCCGCCCTTATGGACCTCACTTTCTCAATAGTGTCTCATTCCACTGCTAAGAAAACCTTCTGTACTTACTATTGCCAACTGAATAAAGGAATCCTTTTGTCTAGATAGAACAAAAGGGCTTCACAATCTGGCTCCAACCTCCTTTTCCTGTCTCAATTCTCATTATTCCCTACTTCATATACTCTGCATTCCACCAAAACTGGACTAGGCATTATCTCATCTCACCAGCCCTCACCATACATTTATTCCAACTAATGCCTATAACCTTTCTTTACATGTTTCCATCTACATATTAATACATACTGATATTCCATCTACAAAATAATACATACTAATTATCCTTCAAGGTCCAGTTTAAATGTTACTTCCTCCAGGAGGCCTTTCCCAATTTCCTACAACAGAAAGTCTCCCTCCTGAAATTTTCTTAAGAGAACTTTGTCTAGATCCTTTCTTTGTCTTTGTAACCCATATATATTTGTGTACATGTTGCATCCTGCCTCCTCCCATTAGTGTCCTTAAGGGCAAAGGGCTTTCCAGTTTTAAGCTCTATCACCTCCACACTGGGCACACAGTGGATGCTGGCTGCATTGAACTGTTGAGGGTCACTCTTCTACTGGAACAGTTATTGGAAGAAGTGTGGTCAAAAGGAACTGTGTAAAAGCATTATCTGTGATAACTAAAGGCCAGAAACAGAATGTGCCCAACGACTATGGGAAATGGAGAAACAAATTATGGTACATGAGAAAAATATGGTTTATTACTACACCTTAAAGAATGATGATTAATGATGAACATGAAAAATTTTAAAAAGCACTAGGTGACCCAGATGCAGTGATGCAAGCTAGGATAAAAGAATAAGAGACATGGGGGCAGCTAGGTAGCACAGTGGATAAAGTACTGGCCCTGGAGTCAGGAGGACCTAAGTTCAAATCCAGCCTCAGACCCATAACACTCACTAGCTGTGTGAATCTGGGCAAGTCACTTAACCCCAACTGCCCTCACCAAAAAAAAAAGAGAGAGAGAGAGAGAATAATAGACACAATGACCACAACAATGTGCATAATGCCAACAGTATGAGACAACAAAACTCTGATCAAATTCAGTGGTCAGGGTAAATATCACACTGTCAAAATCAAAGGACACATCTCTTCTTTCTGTTAGCTGTTGATAAACTAGCTTCTTTTCAGGGAATGCACTTCATGAGATTTGCTTGGCTGTTTGTTGGGAAGTATCTAGGGCAAAATAAAATGTATCTATATGTTTTTTTAAGAAATGAAAAATAAAGGATCTATGCAAAGCATGTATTAGGGCAACAGGTAATTTCCATCACGGCTCTCTGAACCAAACCAGCATGAGGAAAGCTCAAGAGCTGTGATGATGTGGTTAGTGCCCTTCCAAGGGTGAAACCCATGATCTTGGCACAGTCTTAGAGCACTACGCTCCCATTCACTAAGGTAACCAACCTCAGACTTTGGGGGTGACCTGAAAGGCAGATTCCAACGGTGGGAATAGCTGTGTATAGCTTCAAGGAGACAGCAATAACATAGATACACCTAGGAAGATTAGAGGATAAGCTACACATCTTCAAGTGATGGAGGGGAAAAAAAGGGCAAGTTTATGAACACCAAGAAACACAATCTGCAATTATAAATATTTCATGGGCAAGAGAAAGCTGTACCAGCTAAGAGCAAGTGTAGGGAAAGTGGACAGCAAATTAGATTCCAGTTTGCAAAGTGATAGGACAGCTGGAAGAAAAGCAAAGCTGAAGCTATTCTGGGCTGTGTATTACAGGCGACTGCGTCACTGATGGGGAAAGGGCTGTCCAATCCTGCTGAAACCACAGCCACTATGAGGCTAGCAAAGAAAACCTTGGGAGAGGAGGCTGAGGTTATGGGAAGTCAGAGAAAGGGCCAACAAGAGTTATTCAGATTGGCTCCGGAAAGCCTGAACATCAGTTACTACTAAACCAAGCTGGAAGAAGAAGACAGGGTACAGAAAACAAAGGGGCATGAAATGCTAAGTCTGCACACAATGAGTTTGTGAGACTAAAAAAATACTTCCAGCTGACATAAAGGGCGAGAGGAGGTTACAAGTGACAACTCCAAGAAGGAAAGGGGTGGCTACAGGTGGAGCAATCCTCCCTGGGCAGGATGCAGCTGCCCCTGGGCCTAGAACCACCCCCTCAAAGCCACAGGCCATCTGGACCTCAAATGCAGAGGACTAGAACACATACAGGGGTGTGCTCTAGGGAACAGGCCGAGAAAAATCTAGCTGGCCTTTCCTTTACTCTAGGATACAACATTTCTTCCACTTCCCCACAGACCTTCTTAAACCAGTTCAGAAAGCAATAGATGGAGAGCCTGCTGGGTAGCAGCCACTACAGGGGTAACACCACACCTCTGCAAAGGATGCAACAAGTGGGCTAATTAAGACTGCCCCTCCTCAGCTGTGCTCAAACACTGCAAAGCAAAATGGCTACTGCTCCTATGAGACCCCAGAGACCTAAAATATAAAGGAAGGAAGGAAGGGAATACTATTCTCCAAAACACCTAGAGGTTCCCTGAATAAAGTTCAGGGCCAAGGATACCCCTGGGGAAAGGAGACTTCCTGAATTAGCAATATACTAAGGCTCGGGTCATTTGCTTCAAGACAGTGTCCCAGGAAGTCCCAAGAAGACCATTATATAGTGGTTAACTGACTTGTCCAGAGTCACATAGCTAAAAAATGTCAAAGAAAATACACATAAAATATTTTTATTACTTCACAGAATTTAGTTCTCCCTCCATCCTGGGGGAAGAAGGAAGAAAGGGAAAATCCTCCCTTTTCCCCAAGTCCTATTCTTAGTTGGGGACTGCTCTGTGAATTGTCTCCCTCCAAGAGCACCTCCTGCAGTCAGGGTCCCTGGCCTCTCATACAAAGGTCTGGGCGATGGCAAGCACTTTGGAATACTCGCCTTCCAGCCGCCGGAGACTCGTTGGAATTGGTACCTTGATGCGGGTACCCACCGGGTTCCCATTGTCTTCAATGAGGACCACATTGTTTGAATCAAACCTTGGTGTCATTCGGGGCCCAGGCATTCGGTGCCCCACAATGAGGGCCTTCTTCTTCTGCCCCTTGATGGCCAGCAGGATCCGGTCTCCCACCCTGCCCACTCCGGTCTTATTGTAGACGTGGATGCACCGAGGGGGGCGGTGGTATGCAGTGTTCCCCAGAGCACTATTGTCTACCACGCGTACTCTTGTCATCTTCTGTATTGCTCCAAGGGCCTCTGTGGTGCTGGAAAAAGGAGGAGAAAACAATCTAAAATTAGACACTGTCTTCCAAGAAGCACTTCTTGGAAGCCTGACAGTCTTACTCATTATCAACTGATCTGGGAGGTCCCAGGATGAAGACCATATATTAGTGATAAATTCCCTGGGTCATAATTCAATTCTCATTTTTCCCTTGAAGACTAAAAAAAAGATTCAGTCTATGACAAGAAAGTATATACTAATACCTCTTTGTTCATGCTTACAGCATACAGATGTCTCTGGGTGTAAATTTCTACCACCAAATTCTTAGTCACATAGCTAAAAAATGTCAAAGGCAGGATCTGAACCTAAGCCTTCCTGTCTCCATGGTCAAAATCCTATCCACTGTGCCATGCTGCTTCTATTTGCCTGGTCTAGGGTCAGGGGGAGGAGATACTGACCCATGATTTCACCGGCAGAGAAAACTTCCTGTGCTGGTATAGAAACTCCTGCTACCAAGGAAGATATGTACCTCCTCTGGAACTGAGTCTTAAGAGAATGGACTGAGGCACTGAGACTTGCCAAGATGTGTCCAAGACTTGGATTTGAACCCAAGTCTTCCTGACCCTGATGCCCATTTTCTTCCCACTAGGCCATTCTGTTTCTCTTACATGTCAATACCAAAGTCACTTTAGTCCAACAATCTAAAGTCCTCTGTTCAATGTTCAAAGTCCCAACCTGTCAGAGGTGAGAAAATGCTCTCCAGCTAAGGAAATTTAGACTCATTTTAAAAGGAACCAGACTTATGTATTGTAAAGTACCTCCATCTCAGTCTAATCATAAAGTCTTCCTTCCCTGAGATGAAATTTTAAAGAACTAAAAAAAGGAAAATTATGGGCCAAGTCATATTAGTACCCCAAAAATATTCCCAACCAAACTGCTAAGATCTATTGCCTCAGGCAAAGGTCTAAACTACCTCTTCTAAATGCCAACCCTTAGAGGGATCCCTCCAGACACAGTCACTTCTTATACCTTTGCTACAAAGCAGCTGCAGACTTGGAATAAGAATCCTTGATCATGAGCCTTGAGCTCCTGAAACTTATCTATGACAGAGCAAGTGTCATAATTTCTCTGTACCTCAGTTTCCTCATCCATTGACACCACCTCTAAGATCCTCATTCAGTACTGAGATCACTGACCCCAGCCTGGGAGCAAGTGCACTGATAGTCGACCTTTAAGCACCAGCAAGTAGATCTTCCTAATACAATAAAGAACTTGGACTCTTTAAGTTTACTAATTCCTCAATTAGGTTGCCAATTTTTCAGTCATTTCAGCAGTACACACTCTCAATCTGCATTCCTGTTTCTATACCACCTCCTCTTCAGTCCAGTTTCATTAGCCCGTCTCTCGTTCACTTATTAACTATTAAATGAGATGATGGATACACTCAAGAAACCTGAATCGCTTGCCAAAGGAGAGTATGTTCACAAATGGTTCTTCACTTTGTTTTCTTCCCAATTTCTACTCTTTTGTAATAAACATTGTTCATTTTTCTGTGTGTGTGTGTGTGTGTGTGTAAAGTTCATTTATATAACTTTTTCAAGTTTACAAAGTGTTTTCCTCAAGACAACACTGTGAAGTCGGCAAGAAGGAAAATAATATTGGTGGGCAGAGTAGAGGAAAAGAAGAGGCATGGAAAAAGTCCCCAGCTGACTGTAATACATCAAGCTCCACTCACCAACACTTCTGAGTAAAGCAAGGCAGGTATCATGGTAAATAAACAATCGGCCTCACAGGGTTGCTGGAAAAGACACTTTAGAAACTTAAGATGCTCTAGAAACATGAGTGATTGGGTACAGAAGTTGACTGTGTACCCGACTCCAGCTTCCAAATTAAATTCCTCCACCACCTCCTCTCCAGCTCAATGTCATATACCCAGCTGCCATTCACATACTATCATTATATACCAAATAGAATGATAGATGTAAAGTGCTTTGTACACCTTAAATGCTAGACCAGTGGCAGCCATTTTCATGATCATTTCCATCACAAACCTTCCACTATAGCACTCCTCCCACACTTCCTCATAGCATGGAGATGACTCTGTGTTCTCAAAGGTTAAGCTAACACAGTGTAAGTGCCGGCCAATCCTGGCCACTTTGAAAAGCTTCAAGCACAGACTTGGGTGAGGACCAAGACAGCTAGGTGTGAAGGGGAGAGTTGACCACAGCAGCTCTCAAAAAAATTTTTTACCAAATCGCAGAGGTGCTAAGATCTACATCCTTGGAGGAAGACTGCACACCACTAAAATCAAGATCCTCAATACAGCAGCATTATCTTGATCTGATGAAGACTCCAGTTCAGCCTGGTATCTGAACTTGTTCTCATTTCTATGCCACCCTCACCTCCAATCCCAACTACCCAGCTCAATCCAAATATCCTTACTTATGCTCCTACCCATAAACTCACCTCATCCCTAGACCTCTGCTGATTTCCAAATAGCTATTAATTTTCAAACAGAAGCCTGAAGATTTCTAGCAAGAAAAAATTAAGGATACTGAAGTTCCTGAATTTAAGGGAATGCTCAAAGGAAAACATCCTTGTATATTCAGTTAGAAAATTACCTGAAGGGAGAGTAGTTTCATCAAAAATCCTATGAAAATCTCATATTCAAAACCTATGGGAAATGATACAACTCTAAGATCAAAAGCCACTTCCCAATGGATGGTCAAAGGATATAAGGCAATTAAAAAAATGTCAACAACCATATGATAAAAAAGATACTTTCAAGTACTAATACAAAATGCACAACAAAACATCTAAGGGTTGTCTCACACCCACCAAATTGGTAAAGAAACAGCAATAGTCAATGTTGGAGGGACCATGAAAAGGCATAGCGGTGGAGCTGGTGGAGATATGAATTCATCCAACTGAGCATAAAAACAATTTTACATTATCAGAGTAAAATGACTAAGATGCCCATACCTTTTCATCCAGTGATCCCACTATTAGGCACATATCACACAAACGATTTAAAAAAAAAAAAAACAGAAGGAATGTTGCATTTACACAAAAATATTCATTGCAGCACTTTTATGCGATAGCACAAAACTGGAAACAAAATAGCTGGCCAATGATTGGTGAAAGGCTAAACAAAGTGTGGTTCGTGAATGTAATGGAATATCACTGTACTGTAGGAAATGAGAATATGATAAATACAGAGAAGCATGGAAAGAACTGATACAAAGGGAGTTAAGCTGAGCCAAGAAAACAATATGCACAATGAAAATGGAAAGAACAACCACCAGCTGAAACTAAATGCTGCTTTCACCTTAAAGAAAAGATACGAGAAGATACTTCCTCCACTTGTACAGGGGTGGGAGACCCTGGATGTGGAAAACTACTGAGAGAATTAGACTTTTTTGATATGATGGTTAGTTTTGTTAAACTGTTTTCTTCTTCGCTTTTCTTCTTCTTTTTATAAGGGATGCCTCTCTGGTAGAGAAAGGATAGAGGGATACAGTAGGAAATATATGCTTTTTAAGAACAAGATATTAATGTAAAATAATTTAAAAGAAAAACACTATCAACAAACATATGAAAAAACACTCAAAATTGCTATTAAAAGAAATTCAAATTAAAACCACCAAAATTTTTTCTCATACCCATCAAACAGGCAAAGATTTAAAAAAAGAAACAGTCAGTGTTGGAGGGGGTGGGGAAAGGTAAGCTCACTGTGACTCCTGGTAGAGCTGGGAATTCATCCAACGGTTGGTTAAAAAGAGGGGGGGGGGGGGGGGTGGAGCCAAGATGGTGAGTAAAGAGGCACTCAACATTCCCTTCCAAACAACTTTAAAATAACTTTCCAAATCAAATTCTGAAAGGACCAAGTCAACAGAAGATCAGAATAAGACATTCTTCCAGCCCAAGACAACATAGGTGTTGTCACTGCAGCTAGGCAGCACAGTAGATGGAATGCCAGGTCTGGAGGCATGAAGAATCACCTTCCTGAGTTCAAACCCAGCCTCAGACACTTACTCAGTTTCCTCAGGCAGTGATTCGTTGAGAAGGCTATGTCCCTCAAAAGAAACAAAGTGGGGAATAAGAGAAATTATTTTACTATTATATCAACAACCAATTATTAATTTGGGATCCAGGCTTTTTCTCCTTTATTTCCTCATTTGAGGCCTAGCTCCTGTGGAAGGTCAGCCTTTGAAGGACATGGCTGATCGAGATCACCTCTAACCCTTGGAGAACATGCTCTTTGATCTTGGGCCAGACCCCACCCACCTAGAAGATCTTACTTTGGTTTGGAATCCAGTCTGAGCAAGTTCTTATCCCAAGGAGAATAGCCCTTGTCCTTGTATCCCTCAATTAGAGTTTAGGGTAACTCATGAGGAAGAAAACCAACCAGAGTGGTCTGGATGGAGATGGATTCCCCTTTCTAGATTGTTGGAAGCAGCTGAGTCTTATGATCAAGTCATATTCTCAGCCAGAGGAGCCGAAGACTTATTAAAGACTTATTAAATGTCCACCAATCAGTGTTGATTTTCATTTGTCAGAGGCATTCCTTTTTTGGAAAGGTATTTAAGGCATTCACTGTCTCCACTGGGAGGTCTCTAGTTACCAAGAGAAGCCACTGACCATCAAAATGTATTTGTTATTAGCTAGCCTAATTAACAAGTTGATTATTAATTACCCAGAATTACTGTCTCTTAGGGTTTTTTCATTTGTCACAATACCCACTTCTGGATCATAGTTTAAGGGTGGAGAGGAACATTTTCATTCACAGTTCAAGGGTGGAGAGGAGAGAGAATGGAAGCCCTGAGGGGCAGTATCACTTCTAGCCCCAAGGGATCAGGGACCCAGAGGAACAGTACCAATCGCAATCCCAAGGGATCAGGGGCCTTACTGGTTAAAGACCAGAGTGCAGACCAAGAAAGCAGCGACCATACCTCTGCCCAGATCAGCCCACACTGGAAGCACCAAAAACTCCCAAACCCCCAAAACTAGCTCTGAAAACTGTAGTGTAAAAAAGCCTGAACC